TATTATAATAGTATCGAAGGTATGAAGACCAAGATGATGTGGCCTTTTGTGTGGTCGCAGTCTGTTTTCGTTGTACAGACGTCGTTTGACCTTGTTTTCGCAAAATGGTCGAATTGGTAGGAAGACTTATTGGAACGCACCTAGTCCGGGCTCCATTGCCTGCATGATCATTTCCAAAGTCGAACCGTGGACGTGGTACATACCCAGACGCTTCACCGGCTGTAGTCGGCATCGTCAGTGAGTATCGCCATTCTTAGCACCACACAACAACTCGTCAAAGAGACAAGTTAAGCCGATCCCTTGACCATACTTGTGCTAAACAATTGTGGTATCTCCCTTTCTGCCCTGGCTTATTCGCAGTTCCGGTTGCATCCTATCATGCCTTCACTATACGGTAAAATTTTTAATAGTGAAGGCATGATAGGATGCAAACGGAAATGCGAATAACTAAGGGCAGAAGGGGAGATACCACAATTGTTTAGTACAAGTCTGGTCAAAGGATCGGCTTCACTTATCCCTTTGACGAGTTGTTGTGTGGTGCTAAGAATGGCGATACTCACTGACGATGCTGAGTACGATGCCGGCGAAACGTTTGGGAATGTACTACGTCCACGTTTCGACTTTGGAAATGATCATGCAGACAATGGACCCCGGACTAGGTGCGTTCCAATAAGTCTTCCTACCAATGTGACCATTTTGGAAATGATCATGCAGACAATGGACCCCGGACTAGGTGCGTTCCTCTAAGTCTTCCTACCAATATGAGCATGTTGCGAAAACAAGGTCAAACAACCTCTATTATAATATTATGTTTTTTATTTTAATCGATAGCATTAGTAACATTATTATGCTGCCTAAGGTGATTACAGTTCTTATTCAAGATATACTCGTAGTATTTAGGCCAATTCATTACGCATATAAGTAATGCGGTCAAGGTGGGTCTGGCTTACCTTGAAAGTCACGTCCACTATGTGATCCGCTGGCACTCGTGGCTGTGTGGCGTGATGGTAAGATGTGTGAAATAATCACTGCAATGCCTGGGTTATATTTACGTTTGGGGCGAGGATTGGAATCAGGTAAAATCGTATCTGCAACCCAGCCGAGATAAGAATACCCTTTGGGCTGTCCTTCAGTCCTTATCCTGCCTATGGTTTAATACAGTTCTTGTTTATGATAATTCCCCAAATCCGACTGGTGATCTCGGCTGGAGGGAATAGTATTGGTTTTCGTATGAGAGCAGGAATAGGTGGGATGGCACGATGATGAAACAAGTGGTGAGTGAATAGAGGTACTGAGATTGATTAGAAAACCCACTTACCGAGATGGAAGTGAAAAAGGACACTATAGACCAACTGACAAAGAGACACAGCTCGAATATCTCGGAGGCAACGGAGCTGTGAATCTGATGTTAGTCAAATTAACGGGATCGGCAAAATGTAGAGGAAGGGCTGCAAAAGAGTATGATTAGTGCTACGACTGGTAAATTGGGCTTCAGTGAAAGGTCTGTTTATCCTCACTTAATATATTTATTTTAACTGATTTACTGGTAGTATCAAAACCATACTTATAAACTAAAGATAAGTAATGTAGTTGGTGGTCATAGCAAATATGACTTTGCTTCATCGACAATCACACCACAGGATGTGATATGGGAAAATGCCTGGTTTTTTCTTTGAAATTCACATCTACCCTGTGACCCAAGGGCACCTGCGATAATATGGCGTAATGATTAAAGTGTCGAGTTTACGCGCTGTGCTGTCATAGTTCGACTCCTGCTGGGGGTGTTGATAAGATATAGGCGAGGTCGAAACTGCAGTCCACCTCAGATTGGATGGGAAAAACTTTTGGGAAAGTAAGGCTATGTAAAATCCAATGGAAACGTCATTGTGGGAAAACTAAACTACCATTCATACATCACTTAAAACGAAATAGGATGAGTGCATTTCCTATACAGAGACACAACTCTACCACATTCGTTTAGGTCTGTCTTACGTTAAGAAATAAATTCACCTATTTTTCGTCTGTAAGTAGCTCTTCGAGACTATCGGTAAATCAGGTGTACGGGATGTGCCCACCCTATTTCGTTTCAGGTGATGAAGAACAAATAGTTCTATTTTCCCACTTCCAGATGAGTAGTCTGTACGTTTCCATTGAATTCTCATCCCGAATGAGGTGGACTGCAGTTTCGACTTCGCTTAGGTCTCATTAGTACCTCCAGTGGGACTCGAAGCATGACAAGGAAGCACGTGAACCACTACCCCACATTGCCACAAGTGCCCTTGGGGCACAGGGCCAATATGAATTTCAAGGAGGGACAAACATGTGCTTTTGCTTAAACGAAATCCCACCACAGAATGTAATCTGCAAAAAGCCTGGCCCTCCCTGGAAGTTGCATATACTCTGTGGCCCAAGGGCACTCGTGGCAATGTGGCGTAGTGGTCATCGTGTCGAGGTTATAGGTTGCGCTGTCATGGTTCGATTCCAGCTGGAGGCGCTGATGAAGCATAGACGGTGTCTAAACGGCAGTCCACCCTTCATGAGAATTCCTTTAGGCCAAGCAAGGCTATGTAAAATGCAATGTAAATGTAGGGTCTGCCCGTTTAATCGTTGAAAAATTTAACTACCAATCCACATATCATCTTAAGAGAAATACGGATATATTTAATTACATTTAGCCATGATACCGAAAAGGTGTTCTCAAACATGCAGGATTTGAGTGGAGTTTGGTTCTCGCGGAGGCCTAAACAGAACCGCCATAGGGGATCAAACGCGGATTGTGCAGAGGTACCAATGGTTTGCTCATTTTAGGATTAGCCAGGCCTTTCCTATATCGCATTTGTCTAGTGGTATTGGCGATGAAGCAAACCTGTATTTGCTATTACAACCAATTGCTCTACTTATATTGAGATTGAGTAGGTTTAAAAAGTATCAGTGGATTTTGAATAATATCTCTATTCAGAATGCCCTACAAGATTAAAACAAGAGTCCAATAGGAGACTTTACTCG